ATCCATGAAACATTTTCTTTTCACTTATTCCAGTCAACAACATTTACTTACAATTTCCATACAACCCCAACCATTGCCATTCTCTATTTCTATTTTCGTTCATAAAATTAGTTTCATTTCGTTTGATAGGCAAAATAGCAGTATTTGTTTGTCGACATCCAAAGATTTATCATGGAACTTGAATGTTGATAAATGAGCGTTAAGAAATTGCTAGTTAACGAGTCAGAAAATTGACTCATGAATAGTGTACAAACTCTACGAGCAAATCGCGTATATTGTGCATAATTTTTTAATTTAGTTCTCAGCTTGATAAAAGCTAGAATGGCATCTATGGTAGGATAAAAGCTAGATAAAGTCATATCTAAGGATATAACAAGAAAAACAATGACATTTTTTTGTTATAGATAAAGAAGAATGAAGAGAATAAGAAGGGGGAAAAAAATGAGATTAAGATTAAGGAAAACGAAAAGATAGAAAACTTACGCCAAGGCACCAATTACAACTTTTTTCATTCGCTTTTCTTCTTGTCGCATTTGACTTTTGAAAATGATTTGATTTTTTTTCGGCTTGGATTTTACTCATTTTGTCTTGGTTGATGAGTTTTAGTGAATTCTAAGTGTTCCTTACAGGCAGGCGCTTAGCCAGAGTGTTTGAGATTTTTGGCAACTCTTCGAATTCATGGCTACGCACCTGCTTCCATATATACTTTAAGGGGTGTGTATATCTTAGGTCTAGCTAATAAGACGGTTAAAGTTTAGCTTTGCTATCTTGATATTAGAGGAGACCAAGAAAGTAGCCATAATGATTACCAGTCATGATTACGAGCCAACCAGCCATTAATTGTACAGTTCCACATCTAAAGTCTTGCCTATAATCCCGTTAAAGAGTAAAAACTTTGCGATCTTAAGATTAAAAGAGTCCAAGAAACTAGCGTTAAGCTAAGAGCATGATTTCCAGCCCCCTATTTATTATGTGTCTAGCTAACCCTAGCTAACCATCCATTCCACATTTCCATCCTTAATGACAACCCACATAAATGCGTCACAATCCATCATCATCCTTTATCTCACCCTACGAATCTCCTATCATCTCGAGAGCGCATTTTCTCACAAAATTAAACACTTTATGTAGCTGAAATAAATTTCATCTCTATGAACAGTCGAGAATAGCATCAAATGAAAAGGAAGAAGGACGAAAGAAGGAAAAGAAAGCGAAAAAAAAGGCAAGATGAGAAAATTGAAAGACGTGAATAGGAAGAAGAGCAGCGTCAGCATTGGAGACGCAATAGAAAAAAAATAAATGAAGAAACAAAGAAGAAGAGAAACTTAAAGCGAATTTTCATGTTGAAAATAAAGGAAAGAAGAGAAGTTGCTCCAGATTGATACCTTCCTTAACTTAAATTACATAAAGATAGGAAATGATGAACGGAAATTTTAATTTTCTACAAACGACAACGCTCTTTCGTGTTACATGCTCAAAAAACCGTCTACGATCAACTCATACCCAACATCCCAACATCCCCATCGAAAAAAAAAAGTTGAATGGGCAATAAATGAATGTCGTAAATGTTATTTAATTGGAATTATAGCGAAAATGACTTTGGCTTCGTACTCATTTCTTTCCTTCAAACACTTCGAGTGTAGCAATAATGTCACATTATAAGAATGGAACAAATGACACTCATTAGAAATGAGTTGGGTGATAATTAAAATCCATAAATAAGGATAAAATGGAATGAAAGGAGAGGATGGAGAAGTGAAGACGAGAGAAGTTTTACTTCAAGGATGTATGCGGACGTTAAAGACAATTATTTTGTTCGTTCACAGCCTTGTTCAGGTGAAGGAGGAATGTGTGCCTTGGGAGGAGTTTTTATAGTCGCACCGACCAGAATTTCCAAAAATATATTTAGTCTTCAGAGCCCTTCTTCCATCCCCCCCCCCCCCCCCCTCTAGTTGCTACAAGTAAAATTTACATTCAACTCAAACAAAAGAAGCAGCAATTTCAAATTAAAGATCCAAAAATTTTACATCTAACGCACGGTTTGAATCCTTTAATCTTACTTAACAAGCCTCTTCCAAAAATTCCTCCAGTAATTTTTCTTGTCAACAAAATGAAAAATTTTCTGCTGTCAGTTTTTCTGTTCGGGGAACATTTTTCCGTTACTGAATATTGCCCTACATATGCTCATATATTCCCATCACAACAAAAAAAAACAGTCTTTGCTGTAAAGTAAAAGTAATGTAATCGTTGGGAAAATTCCTATTTTTTCGGAAAATAATGAAGAGGCAGAAAGGATGTTGCTCGTCTTTATTAAATTGTTTTTTTCTCCAACCCCCACACTCGCTTGCTTTTGCTCTCTATCTCCAAATGCTATTATTTCTTGTTGTATGTGAGCATTGTTTCGAGCTTTGTATACAACAACAAGCTTTATCCCTTTTTTTTCGAGTGTCATTCTTTCTCAAATGTGATTTGAAATGTCTCGAACTTGTTTACCGTTGTTTTACATTCACAAAAGGGTACAATTTTGAGCTTTTACCCCTTTTTTTCGGTTTGCTCTCGTTCTTGTCGTTTCTTTTCATTTGTTTTTGGAAGATTTTTATAAAATGCTCTTGGGTTTTTGGCATATTGTCCTATTTTTTGAGCTTTTGCATCATTTCGTTTGAATTGAATCTAACATTCGAATCACTAAGTTTAAAGTGATGCAAACTTTTGCATCACTAAGTTCAAAGAGATGCAGAGTTTTGCATCACTTAGTTCAAAGAGATGCAGAGTTTTGCAACACTAGGTCCAAATAAATGCAGACTTTTGCATCACTAGGTTAAAAGAGATGCAGAATTTCGCACCACTATGTCTAAAAGAAATGCAGACTTGTGCATCACTTGGTCCAAATATATGCAGACTTTTGCATCATTAAGTTCAAAAAGATGCAGAATTTCGCATCACTAAGTTCAAAGTGATGCAGATTTTGCATCACCAAGTTACAACTAACCTATAAATATGTACCACTAGATTAGATTGAAAGCAATGTAACTCCTCGACAAAAATACCAAAAATGTTATCTATTTTATAAACTGTATACGTGCATCCTCAGTAGTATCCTTTCCTTAAAACAGCAAGCTATCTTACTTCCAAGTAAAGACAAAAAATGAAATAGATTGAGATGAAAATTTTCCACATTCATGAGTATTCACATGTATATGTGAACTTGTATAAACTGTATTTATGAAAGAAATCCCCAAAACACACATTCGATGACAGTTAGATACGGAAAAAAGAGAAAAGAGCTTCGTTACCACATATTTTACATTCTTTGCAGCCTTTTTTGTAATTCCTTAAAAACATATAATATACATTCAAGATCTTTTCATACCACTTATATATTCGAGAGGACGGTCAAAAGGATTGCATTGGATTGTCTCGTTGATCCTCAAATAAACGAGTCTTCGAGGTATATCAAAAAAAAAATGTTGAGAATTTATTGTACATAACTACATTTTTAGGAGAGAGGCAGAAACCATTTGCAAATGTATATGGAAGTATTTATGCATTTGTTTAATGTTCTGAATGTGTATTAGATTTACAAATATGGACTGTATAATTTTCATTGTGGGTTTTGTGCTTTCAAAAAGGTTGAGGATAGATATAAAAATAATTTTGGATAGGATGTTTTAAAATTAGTTAAGAATATTTTTATTAAAATTGCAGAATTTGTACATGTCACCGTGGTTAAGTTAAAACAAAGGCTGGTTTAAAATTGACTTCTTCGTTCAAGGTTTTTTGATAAAGTCTAGTACTTTTTTAATCTAGTCTGATAAATTCTAGTACTTCATTCAAGCTTCTTTGAAAGAACCTTGTACTTCTTTCAATCAAATATAATAAAATCTTGTCCTTTGTTCAAACTATTCTGATAAAATCTAGTACTTCATTCAAACTAGTTTGATAAAATCTAGTACTTCTTTCAAACTAGTCTGATAAAATCAAGTACTTCATTCCAGCGTTTTGATAAAATCTAGTACTTCATTCAAGCCATTCTGATAAAATCATGTAGTTCTTTCAAGCTATGATAATAAAATCTGGTACTTCTTTCAGGCTAGTCTGACAAAATCGAGTACTACTTTACAGCTCTTTCGGTAAAATCTAGTACTTCGTTTCAGCTATTCTGATAAATTCTAGTACATTATTCAAGCTAGGATGCTAAAATCTAGTATTTCTTTCAGTTCTAATACTTTTCATATAATTAGGAAAATTTTGTAAAGCTTTCTCCTTAATTAAAATCTAGTTTATAGTATTAAACCTGGTCATTTAACTGGGAATTGATGTAAAATCTAGTACGACTCCATGTGCAATCAAGTTTTAGAATAATAGATATCTAGTCATTTTTATGTAATCTAGTACTTTTCTAAAAATCTAGGACTTAATTTAATAACTTCTTTTCAGAGATTCAATCTAGTCCAGGAAACAAAGTTATTCAATAATTTCAAATTCCATCCTCCAATCTCAATCTAGTCTTTAATCATACATTATCTCGAATTTATTTCAAACCACAAACCTTTAATATTGAATGAAGATGAATATAACCTTTAGAAGCATATGTTGCTTCTGCATAAATTCATTCCTCTCTAATTATCTTCTGCCTTGATTAATCTTTTCATTGAAAAGCTTTTTGCTCTCAATTCTGTAATTTTCTCAGAAGATCCATTCATACCGTAAAATTTTTCAAAGCTATAGAAAAACCATGGATAGTTTTTAATTTATATCCAAACTGATTTCCCAAAGTAAGCAAATTCAATTAACCTTTATTACAGCATAATCTCCAAACTAATCAAAATTTATCATCAGTTTTTTTGGGGGACAATATCCTCTAGTATTCTCTACCACAAGAACCTAATGAATATTTTATTATTTCCATGTAGTCAACAACAGAAACTCTTACAGTACATTTTATTTCCGATTCTATGTAGAAGTTGGTATGTAATTTTTGCAAAATTGATGTCACTTACCTTCCTCCGACTAATAAACTATCATCAACTTTTAATATCAGTCGGAAATGATCAATTGTCGAGTCATTTCCTTGAAATTTGAGAACCTTGTCAGCTTCTGTAAAGGAATAAAAAAAGGAAAAATACATTAAATGATTAAATAAATAAATATAACAATTTTTTTTGCTCATTTTCCTAAATGGAAATGATAGTGGCTTATAGGACCGTGACGGAGTATGTATGAGAAATTTATATACATCATCAGGCATTATTTCTGGCAGAAAGGGCGGGCTTACAAAAATAATTGCATAAATTAATTATTTAAATAGCCAACAATTACTTCGGTCGGAGAGATTTCATGTCGATCGTGTTGATGACGATGACTAGGACGATGTCAATTGAGGGTCACAGAAAAAAAAATGGTAGTAAAAGAGAGAGAATCAGTGGAATGGAATGGAATAAGAAATAAATAATTATTGGATTCTGTAGCCAATTTATTTTTATAGATTTTTATGGTGCCTCAGCTTTAGCTTCGTTCTATATTTGTCTTAATGCGAATGTACTCAAAGAGGAAATATTTATTGAGAGTTTGAATGAGTAAGGGATTATGTTGAGGGCTTAGATGGTAACGCATTTGAGAAGCTGATTTATAACAAAATTGTTCTTTGGATTCATGCTCTGCTGAATCGATGTATAGTTTGGCTGATGCACAGCTAAACAAAGACACAAAGCAAAATTGCAGATCAAATAGAATTTTGTATAATTAGAACTATTGAATAACGCATAGCTTGAATGACGCATAGTTTACTTGACGCATAGCTTTAATGACTCATAGCATTAATGATGCAAAGCTTGAACGACGTATAACTTGATTCACGCATAGCTTAAATAACTCAAAGCTTGAATAACGCATAGCTCGAATGACGCATAGCTTGAATAACGCAAAGCTGGAATAACGCAAAGTTTGAATGACGTATAGATTGAATAACGCAAAGCTTGAATAAAGCAAACCTCGAATGACGCATAGCTTGAATGACGCATAGCTTGAATAACGCAAAGCTGGAATAACGCATAGCTTGAATGACGCATAGCTTGAATAACGCAAATCTGGAATAACGCAAAGTTTGAATGACATATAGATTGAATAACGCAAAGCTTGAATAAAGCAAACCTTGAATGACGCATAGCTTGAATAACGCAAAGCTATAATAACGCAAAGCTGAAATAACGCAAAGTTTGAATGACGTATAGATTGAATGACGTTTAGATTGGATAATGCAAAGCTTGAATAAAGCAAACCTTGAATGACGCATAGCTTGAATGACGCATAGCTGGAATAACGCATAGCTTGAATAATGCATGGCTTGAATGACGAATAGCTTGATTAACGCATAGCTTGAAAAATGCATAGCATTATCAATTCAAAGCTTAAATGATGCTTTTCTTGAATGACGCAAGAATGATGCATAGCTTTTATGACACATAGTATTAATGACGCATAGTATTAATGACGCATGGCTTTTATATTGCGCAGCTGAACTGCAATTGAAAGAAGCTGATACAAAGCTTTATGTTTACATTTTATCGCACACTTCTATTACTGCCAAAAATTCTGATTTCAAACTTAACATAGCCATTCCTAGAAAAGTAAATGACCTCTACATTCACCCACCTAGACAGACAACCCTCGAACAAACGACCCATTTCAACCCAACAATCTTCAAAGTGTCCGTTTCCGTAAAAAAAAAGTCGTCTACAGAAGGTCATGAAAGGAAGAAGTATCGATTATGTAGGATGAGCCCTAAATTCGATTATTTCTGCGAAATATGCGGAAAAAGCAACGAAAGGAAAAATAATAATCAGCAAATAATTTTTTTTGTGTTCCTGATGACTCCGGAAGCAGACATTTCGCTACGTGAATATTAATTTGTACAATTTTTTTTGTGCTTGCTACTGTTCCACCTCACTCACTCACTCGGTGTAGTAAAAGAATATTGTGTACGGCTGTTCGAAAAACGATGAAAAACGCGGAAAATTATTTTTATGACGATTATTATGAATTAATGCCATTTCAGCACAAAAACTCAGAGAGCCTATCAAAAACATAACAATTGCCGTCTCAATCAGAAAAAAAGGCTCAAGTGGACGAGAGAGCAAAAACATTCACAATAAAAAATAAAACAGATTTTCCATCATTATTATTGTTGTTAAAATAGAAATGGAGAACAAAATTGGGGAACAGTCAGGGATGGGAGATGAAATATATTCGCAAACTTTTACCTTTGACGCTAAAAAAATGTGACATGTCAGGCAAGATGAAATTATGTACGCCATAACATATTGATATATAACATATTGAATAACAGGGGATAATAAAAAAAAAGTTTTGTGATTTTATGCTGTAAGGGGGAAATTGGAAGTTAGAAAGTAATGGATATTGGATTATTGGGTGGTTAAAGGACGCAGATATGATGGGATTTTGGTGAGATATGGTGGATTTATCATCAATAGGTCTTCTTCTGGTGTAGACAGACCACTCTGTTCACATTGAGCTGGCATAGACTTTCTTGAAAGACACACGGCCTTAAAATAGCTGTCAATCTCGTGTCCAGGAGGGCATCATGCAGGATTTAGTAAAATTGATAGCTTTTTAAACGCCGTGTGTCTTTTGGGTTTGTTTTTAATCACAAGTTGACTAAGAAGATCTTGTTGTCCTGCTAAATTTGAGATATTTTCACCAACAATCCTTTTTAAACTCAATAAAGCTCATAATTTCCTATTTCCAGCCAAAATACCCAACAATCTCTATACACACTATCGCAATCACGATCATCACGATGCCATCATCCCCATACATCTCAAATAACACAAATTCAGCTAAATAAAAGCTCGCCTCATAAAATTCATAATTCAACATCTCATCAAGTTATACACAGCATAAATTGTTCAAAAAAATAGAAAAGAAAAAAACATTCGCAGGATAAATACATTGTTTGTGAGATGAATATGATATTGTAGCACAAAAATTGGAACTGAAACAGCATTTTAATGAATGTTGTACGTAATCATAATTAAATATATTTTCATGACTTTAATTTCATTAAACTTATGTTGGTTTTATCAATTTTAATTTTGTGCTCTCGATGTTCATACAAAGTTTTCTCATTTTCGAGAGAAACAATGTTTATCGTGAAATTTGAGTTTAAAGAGCTTGAGGGATTAGAGGGGGAGGGAATGGGTTTGAGATGGTTTGAATTTGAGTATCAAAAAGTGGATCCAATGTTGGAGTAAAGAACGGTAAGGTTATTAAGACTAAGAATTCTTAAACATCCAATATGTAATTGACATGAAGAGTTCTCAAGCTGGACAAATTAATATGGCTACCTGAAGGCTTTACACTTGTCACATTCAGTTTTTGTTAATGTTTTGTAGTGCAATTTTTGATTCTAGGGAAGATTCTAGCCCTTCAGTTAGTCACTGGGACTCAGCAAGAAGAAAATAAATAACGGGAGCATTATGAGTCACTTTGAGATCTTACTCCAAATGGCACAAGTCGGTTAATCGAATAGAAATCCGGCGCTAAGCTGGCATGATGCTGTTCGATTTAAATCCAGCACCATGCCAGAGTCACACCTGCTTAGTGCCGGATTATTGATTGATTAACCGACTTGTGCCATTCGGGGTAGTAAAAGAAGGTTAGATGATTGATTCTGAGAATTCTTAAAAATCTAATATTTGAGGCAAGATGTGGAAACCATCCCAAAAATCCAAAATAATCCCTGAGTCTGTATGCACGATAATAAAGATTTCCCAACGAATCCTAAGTGTACTGGATTATTTTCAAGGATTATTTTGGATATTTTTGGGATATTTGGGATAGTTTCCACGCCTTGCTTTGAGGTCTTACATTAAAGAGTTGGATGTAAAAAATGCGACTTATTAGCTACTAATCATGACACAGTCCCCACCCCTTACATCAATCCATTCGAATAACAGCCAAAAAAACCCACATACAGATAGAGAGTAAAGCAAAGTAGGTTAATTTAATTTACTGACTGCTTTTTCAGAGTACACAAAAAAGTAAACTTTTTCAAAAGAAAATAATTACAAGTCATAATCCTTATCAAAATTATACCTTCAAGATATAATCCTGAGTCATTATGAAATGGAAATGAAATGTATGCTCCTACATATATGCTGGTTTATTTGTATGAAATTCAATTTTTTTATTATTTTCGCTTAGGCAATTTGTAAGCTCAATGCACACACAATACGACAACACATTTCTCTTCAACTCAAATAAGTAAATGTTTGTATGCACAGTATTTCTTATTACCATTTAGGGTGAGAATGTAATGGAAAATTATGTTTACATAGAAAATATAAATTTTTACCATATCCAGTCCCCCCTTGACACTTTCCTCAATAAGCCAATATTGGAAAAAATGGCATTGAGAAATGAAAATAAATATATCATATATTCTTTCATATTATGTAGGGCTTGATGTCATAAATAGAGAGTAAGGGGGAGCATGCAATGCATTCAATCGAAAATATATTCGACATCAAATGTATCAATGATGAATGAATTGAATTATTTGAACTTATCTCAATAATAAAAGCTAAGAATATGTACATTGTGGTGTCTGTGTATTCTCACATGTATGGCGTCTTCATGTGTTTGTGTATTTGCCTTTCTCGCTTTTCCCGTAATTTGTCATAGCACAAATCACTTAACTTTAATAGAATAAATCAAGCGACACTTTTGTCGACTTTTTATTTCATTTCAAAATCAATAAATGGGAAAGTCTGCAGAGATGAATATTTTGCGGATATGTGGGTGAAAGTTTTGGGGCTGATGTGAATGAATTTTGATGTGGAACTGAAGTTATTGACGATTTTAAGGAGGTGATTCATGGATGTTTTGATATAGAAGTGATTTATTGCTGTTTGAATGATCAACAATGAGCCAAACATGGCATATTGCAGCAATTTTGTTAATTTTAAGAGACCAGTTTGAAATGAGATTCGAACCAACGTCTTTATAAATCAGAATTATCAGACATGTTGCCTAGTCACTTGGTTAAAGGTTTCGCTGTCTCACTAGTGGCCAATTTGGCTAATTTAAATAATTATAGACAGAATTTTAATCATGTGCTAAGGAACTGAATAATTTCAATAAGTGGTGTCCAACCTTTTCTATGCTCTAGTACACCTTGATGGTAACCCATGACCGAAACCGCACACGTCATACGATTTGTGGAATTTCCCGAATTTAGTGTGCCGCGGCACAT